CTGCTCCTGCTGCTGCCCCCCGTGCTGCTCCTCAGCTGCCTTCTCTACCCCTCCCTCAGCAACCTGCGCGGCTCCTCGGGGCGCGCCGCCGCGGACCCCGGCCTCTGCCCCCGGGGGTACTTCAGGCTAGGAGCAGTGAGGAATTGCTCCCCGTGGCTCTCATGTGAAGCCATAAGTAAGGAAGTACGGAAACTCAAGCGTGTTGGCGAAGGAGCCGTGAAAAAGGTGAGCTTGGCTTTCCTTTCCCTCTCCACCCCGTGGAAAACGCCTGTGAGGGTGACAACCGCTTGGCGGACCCCGGCCTCTGCCCCCGGGGGTACTTCAGGCTAGGAGCAGTGAGGAATTGCTCCCCGTGGCTCTCATGTGAAGCCATAAGTAAGGAAGTACGGAAACTCAAGCGTGTTGGCGAAGGAGCCGTGAAAAAGGTGAGCTTGGCTTTCCTTTCCCTCTCCACCCCGTGGAAAACGCCTGTGAGGGTGACAACCGCTTGCAGTGTTTGCTGGCTGGTTAATGCCTGTCCCCACTGTCCCTGTGGCTCCTGGCAAGGTACACCAAGGAGGTCGCAGAGCATGTCCCGGGGCCAGCTTGCACCTCGCCTGCACCCACCGGCACCCAACATCGCTGGGATGGGTGAAGTGCTTGTGGGGTGTGACACAGTCACGGCCCATAGAGACAGCCCGATACAAGCCGGGTGGGAGGAACTCCTTTGGTCATTTAATTCAGCGGCATTGCCCCTTCCTAAGGAACACTGTAGAAATGGTGATGTTGCTGTAATTACCACACCAGCCAGTGAGGTCCTGCTGTGACGGGAACGTGGGCCTGCCTAAAGGCTTCACGCTGTCCTAACACTGTCAGGTTTAACCTAGGACTACCCCTGCTGCCGGTCATTGCAGAAGGCTTCCGCACGTCTCATGTATCTCTCGCACGTTCTCAGGTCTTTCTTTCTGAGTGGAAGGAAAACAAAGTGGTCCTTTCCCAGCTCACCAGCCCGGAGCTGCAGGAAGACTTTCTCCATGGACTGAAGATGCTGAAAGCGCTGCAGAGCAAGCACGTGGTCCGGCTGCTCGGCTACTGCGAGCAGCAGTTCACGATCCTCACAGAGTACCACCCTCTAGGCTCCCTCCGGGGCCTGAACGAAACTCTGAGCATCCCCAAGTACAAGGCCTTGAACACCTGGCATCACAGGCTCATGCTGGCCGTAGACTACGTGAGCATCATTCGGTTCCTGCACAGCAGCCCCTTGGGCACCTTGGTGATGTGCGACTCTAATGACCTTGCCAAGGTTCTCTCTCAGTATCTCCTCACAAGCGACTTCCACGTCCTGGTGAACGATTTGGATGCTCTGCCGCTCGTGAACAGGAGCGCGGGCGTCCTGGTGAAGTGTGGTCATCGCGAGCTCCGAGGCGACTTTGTGGCGCCTGAGCAGCGCTGGCCCCATGGAGAAGAGGTGCCGTTTGATGACAACCTCATGCCCGCCTACGATGAGAAAACAGACATATGGAAAATCCCCGATGTCTCCAATTTTCTCTTGGGCCACGTAGAAGGGAGTGACATTGTGCGACTGCATTTGTTTGACATCCATGCAGCATGTAAGAAGAAGGACCCGGCTGAAAGGCCTTCTGCCCAAGAGGTCTTAGACACCTACAGGAAAGTTTTAACTCTCCTTATTCGGGAGGCTGCCATGCCCGGTACTAGGGAAATGTTGTAGTGAATCATGGGACAAACACTGGGCTGAAGTTAGTGTCCTATTTTAACTTGCCTGAAGATTATACAAGGGCAAAATCTCTATTCCCTAAACTGAAAAGATAATAAAACAAAAATGAAAACACTGAACTTGTACTTTTACCTTGCAGTTTAAAAAAAGTCCAGCTGTGTGAGTGTCCTACTGGCACCTTTCATGTGTCATTGGAAGAGTAGGAAGAGAAATGAAGGTGTGGGGGTGTGATGGGAGACGTGCTCTCCTCAAAACCCATAAATTTTCTTTTAAAACATTTAAGTAAAACTTGAAACCCTGCCTGTGACAACTTGCATGTTAGTGGCTAGTGGCAAGAGTGGCAATTTGTAAGTAAAAAATACACTGGCCCTTTTGCTAAGGAGTTTGGAGATGTTCCCTGTCATTCAAACAAGTCACATCATGACTGAAAAAGTGCCATCATGTTTATATAGTCTGTTCAAACCCATGTGTGTTCTACCGAAACTAAAATTTTATTACAAATGGGCAACCTTTTCTGTAAATAACTAAACACAGACTTGATTCTACAGAGTGCCCGCAGCAGTGCTTTAAAAGTTGCTTTACTTTCCTTTAGCCTATTTTATTTTCTTCAGTCAGCTCACGTTATCGATCCCCAGTTGCGGTCCTCACTAGCAGACCTCTTGCTGGCTGCCCTTCTGCCCCACTTGGCGGGAAGAAAAGCTCAGGAATCAGTCTCTAAAGTGGCTAAAGTCTCTAAAGCGACTTTGGACACTGGGTTATAGCTCAAGGGCAGGGATCAAGACTGGAGTCAAATCCTTCGCACACACTCCCAGCAGCATCTTGTTACCCATGTCCATCTTATTAGAGAAGTCCAGCCTTGCATTTCGACAGTGAGTAAGTTACATTTGTTTCGAGCAGAGCATAATGCGGCTTGAAAAAAAAAATCCTTCTTTTGTGGGACGTTGCTCCTGTCTATGTGGGAACACTAGATGGCAGCCTAAAAAGCAGATTAGCTTCAGTTAAGAGCAGTTACACAGCCTCTCCTGGCTGGAGTTTCCCCACACGGTGGTGTAGACGGCTCTTGCCTCAAAGGCTGCTTGTTCTCACGTGCAGCTCAAGCCGAGGCCCCCCATTCCCGGTCCTCTCCCCAGAAAGCTGCTTCCCCTGAACAGCTGGGATGGTTCCTGCTGCATCTCGTGCTCCCCTTCCCTCACCCAAAAAGCCTGAGCAAAGGAGCTGGTCCCGGTTTGTGTTTGTTCCCAGGCCAAGGAGAATGTTTTAAACTACATCCACCCACCTCCCCATGACCCCAAACCCCATGCAGGTGAGCAGCCTTTACGGCAACTCGTGGATATCTTTGACTCTATCGGACATGAGAAGTATTGTACCCACATCCACAGTGGCCCTGATGTGTGTCTGGATAAACGCCAGGCAAATAAAATGGACATATCCAATTTAATTGAACAGAGGCTTTTTTTGTTCCCCCCTCTTTTCTTTTTTTGAGGGACACTTCTACAGTCCATGGTATTCTGTATTTAATGGAGTGGTAACTATTGAATATATCAGTAGTTGACAGCACCACAGAAACTTTCTGAACTTCTACCACAGCTCTAAAACAGTATTTTCCTTTGCTGCCACATAAACAAAACATCAGGTTATTATCTCTGAGAAACAGGGGCAGTGCTGTTTGCAAAATGTAACTGTGAGATATTTGGCAGAGCTCGCAACTGTAAACTGATTCTATCATTATGAGAGTCCCTGGGAACAAGAGAAAAGTGGTTCTGAAGTTCTTCTAGCATGATATAAAGCATGTAGTTGCAGAGTTCATCCAAATAAATTATATGTTAGATGGCATTTTTTGAAAAAAGAAAAAGGCTCTTATGGTTTTCTTTTAATTGAAATACTATATACTTGAGATGACCACATGATTTCCCATAATTGTGAGTGTTCTGAAGGCCAGAGCCAAGGGCTTATCAGGATTAAATGTGGAATACTTTTAAATTGCAGTGATATTTCTCAACCATTTTTGATTTTGTTTAGCTCTGGGCAACTCAAAAGTCATTAAAAATATGTATGTATTTCTATATAGATGCATGCACACACTTATAAATTCACATAAAGCTTCATATATTCTTTAATCATAATTTTTAAAAGAAAGACCTTCATGTTAGATTCTACCATTCAGATTCTGGACATGAAGTAACTAAGATTTTCAAAGCTGTTAAATATTCATGAGTCAAATTCCTAGTAGTTGGTGGCTCTTAAGGACTTTTAGAATATGATTTTTTTTTTCTTACAGAGCTGGCAGACCCTTTCAGTAATGCTCCTGATGAGTCTAGGCAGCTAAAGCACATGCTTTTATTAAGTACGTGGTAGATTTCTCTGTGGAATGATCAAGGTCCCTCTTTTGAAAAAGATTATTTTCTTAAATTAAATCACACCAGTATTTGTAAGAGCTGGGGTTGTGTCTGACCCACAGCTGAAATTCCCCAAGCCTATTTAGTACTGAGCAATGCTGAAAATCTAGCCACTAAGTGTGGGTCCTCATGATTTATACGTTGCCATAAGAGTTTATGCCAACGCCGTATGTGATTATTATGTATTATTTGTTTGGTGCCTGCATGCTTTGGTCACAAGCTAGGACCCCAGAGGTCAGATGCCATTCGGCCCTCGCACACAGTGACAACCTTTCCTCTACAAGCAGCATTAGCCTAGGAAAGCAGAGCACGACTGCTGTCCTCCTTACACATCCACACAAGGCAGCACTGGTTTTCCTGACCCACCTCACGCAAACTACCCACAAATAAGCTGCAGGGTTTACACGGACCATGCGTTATGCCCAAAGCTGCAACTGCGAGGCCCGTCTCTGCTCTCAATTCCACAGCACTATCTCACTGAAGCTGTGGGGCTTGACTCGAGTCATGCTTTAGGTCCATAACTATGTGTTGCTTGCTGTTCTCAAACCTGGCCAGCCACAGCCTCCTGACTCATTCTGATGTTG